GTTTAATTCTAGAAATATCTGTGATTCTGACTTGTATGCTACTTAAAAATACAGAGTGCGTACATTTGAAATTAATTAATGTAACTTCTGGTTTTAGTTTATTTTGCTGTGGTAATTGATAGAATTTATTTTCAGATATTTATAGTGCTATTTATAGTTTTGCTATGAGTTTTGTATTAGTAATATTTTTTTGACAAGAAATAGCGTTTGTCAAGCCATGTATTTGTTTGTTTTTCTTTCACTTCATGAGCAGCAGTAATCTTTGTGTTTGATTGAGTTTATGTAAGGCTGTATGCTGATGTAATGATTAGAATTTTCTCAACATTTTTCTGCCAAATCTGAAGTAAAGGGTTCATGAAGGAGGAACTGCTCTGTAATTATTTTGTAACTTGGTATTGGATGGTCTGAGTTTTTAGTTGATAATCTTTATTATTAGAGCAAAAAGCTGTAATAAAATAACAAAAACATGAGGAATGGTGTGTTTATGTTGTCGTTATTCCTTTGCAATGTTGTTCTTATACATGTATGGAGGGGAGGAAGGGAAGGAGAGATAAATAGAGGGGGAAGGGAGAGAGAGAGAGAGAGAGAGAGAGAGAGAGAGAGAGAGAGAGAGAGAGAGGGGAGACTCCGAGAGAGAGAGAGGGAGGGAGGGAAAGAGTGGAAGGAAAGACGGGAGCGGGGGAGGGAGAGACAGGGAGAAGGAGGGGAGGGGATAAAGAAAGAGATAGGAAGGGGAGATAGATGGAGAGGATAGGGGAGAGACAGAGAGAGGGGAGGGGGATAGAGAAAGAAAGGGGAGATAGAGGAAGAGAGAGAGAGAAGGGAGGTTGTCAAAAATGCATGAAGACGATTCCGCTAAATCCCAGTTCCTGTTTCTTTTACAAAATATATTATTAAAAGAATGAATCGATCAATAGATAAATCAATGTATAAATGAATGTATAAGTGAATAAATATTATAAAGAAATGAATAGATAAGTAAACAAATAAATAAATACATCTTTAAAAAAATAAGGTGCACTTGTGTAGTCCTTATTTGTTGTGCAATCACATTAAAATGACTTAATTAAATAATAAGACGCTCCGATAATACCCCGACTCTATGCCACCGTTTTCGGTGCTCACAGCATTAAAGGAATTCTTTCCTACCAGTAACCATTTATCACCTGGGTGGAGAGTGGCGAATGTATATAGATTAATATCGTGCCAAAGGAAATAGTGCCACATCTGGACAAACTATCACTATGAATATGACGGACAAAGAAAGCGGACAAAATATACAGTTCCTCAATTAGAGAAAGGAACATCCCTTCACTGCTATTATGTAAAAAGGTGAATATACAGGTGACACCTGTTCTACACATTTTTACATAATAGCAGTAAAGGGAGGTTCCTTTGTTTAACTGAGGAACTGTATAATTATTTTGTCCGCTTTCTTTGTCAGTCATATTCATAGTGTATATGATTCACATTCCAGTGACGTATCCACTAGACCGCGACATCTTTATTCATATTTCATTCTTTTCTTCACAGAAGTATACCCTTTTTATTTCTGAAAGTTAGGGCAATGGCGAAATCCCCACCTGGTACGAAGAGGTTCAGTCAAAACATAAAGGAGTTTAAATTATTGCCCATTAATACGAAAATAAAGTACTTTCTCTTTGGGCTGATAACAGTTGATATAGTATTCTTTGAGGGCGGTCGTTATTATGCGCCATTACGAAATATAATTCGATTTGCCTTTCCCTTCACAACAATAATTATTGTGCTCTACAATTTACTTTTCCCCTTTGAAGAAAGCCTAAACATCTTAAAGGTAAAAATAGTAATACAATGTAATCATTATAATACTTCTAGTATTACTGAACATTTTACCTGCAGACGGCGGCAACATCAGATATTTATTTGATTCAGATTGTAGTCCTACAAATTAATATCCAGAATATTTTCTTTTTGAAATAAGTGATAGGGCAAATTTCGTGGAATATGATGAAAATTGCCCCGATTTTTAATGAATTATTAGTATAGTAGTTTATTTAATATTTTATAACTCCTTTCTATAAACCAAAAAAGTTATACAGCAGATTTAAATCCTAACTATTTCAGAGCTGAACATAACATAAATAATTTTGTGTGACGAATCATACCACAAATTTCGAAAAGATCAGAAATTAGACTTTATAACATTTATTCATATCATGATTCTTTATATTATGTGCTGAAAATTTGATTGTATTTGATAACATTAAGAAGATAGACTATGTGTCAATTGTTTGTTTCCAGGTGCGTATCGCCCCCCCCCCCCAAAAAAAAGCCGACCAAAAACAAACAAAAAAAGAGAAAAAAGAAGAAAGGAAGAGGACGTAGGAAGAAAAAGAATTAAGAGTCGAGAACGGTACAACGAATCGTCTTCTTTTTCTAATAATTTAATGAAACGTCGAAGCTTCCGCGCTTCGCGCGGGAGGGGGGGGGGGGTGGGGGGAACTGAATTCAGATAAGGATTAAGAGTCGAGAACGGTACAACTAATCGTCTTCTTCCTCTAATAATTTATGTAACGTCAAAGTTTCCGCGCCCTCCCTGCACCCCCCCCCCTAGGTAACTGATTTGCACGCTTTGCGTGCTCACTACCGCCCCCCCCCCCCCCCAATGAAATCCTGGCTACGCGGTTTGTTTCAGTTTCAGTTTTATTTACCTCAATTAACTCAAAGTCCAGTCACACAGTCGTAGCCTGCGCAGTTCCAGAGATAAATTATTGTTCCAGATTCCCCATGGCAAAACTAGAGTAACTCTTGAGGATCGTGCGTTTGCCATTGCTGCCCCCCAAACTATATGGAATAGCTTGCCAATAGAAAAACGAAGCTCTCTATCTCTCAATGTCTTCAAATCCAAATTAAAAACATATTTGTTCAATTGAGAGATTCGATTTGTAGGAGAAAAAAAAAGGAGCTCTGCCTCTGATTATCCAGCGCCCCTGAATATATTTTGTATAAAAGCTTGCGCTATATACATTTACTATTATTATTATAACAAGAAAGACATCTACACAGCATAAATTTGTATTGCATATACTAAATAATTTCGAAATTCATGTGAATAAAGGAACTTAATAAAAGGCACAGCTTGTAGAGTTTCAGCTTCTCATAATCATTTTCACATAGTGTCATTTATAATCAGGTAGAAGTTTAATAATAATTTGAAAAAATAGGAAAAAAGGAAGTATCAAGTAAAGCAAAGTATACAAACAAAATCAATGAAATGATAATGGATGATGGATGTAAGAAAAAAGAGAAATAGGAAGAGAAGGTAAAGAATCGGGGTCAGAAGAAGAATGAGAATAGAGAAAAGGAAGTTTCAGAATGGAATGTTCAAGGTCGGGAGTCGCAGTCGGGATATATAATGTTTAATCATGTATACCGAGTATATTTTTTATATCAATTTGCGACTTTGTAGGGCTTCTTGTAATCGAAATCCCGAATATATAACCACCCTCATAATAATAATTATAAGACTACAAATAAAATGAATAAATTTAGAATATAGATTCTTGATAGATTATAATAACTTTGCAACTCAAAATCTGGGCCGGGGCAAATCACGCATACTTATTTTAATTTAGATCGGTGATCTTTATAAATTTTCAATAAAATTTCTTTTAAAATTGTGGAGTCATTTGAACTACAATAATGTAACAGTGTTAGTTGATTGAAAGAGCGCCATCTCTTGTTTAATACATTTCTTCTTTGCAATAATATGTATTTGATGATGTGTTTCAAATCATGAATCTATATTTTTTTCCCCATTGTTGTCCTGCTGGTATGAGAGAGAGAGAGAGAGAGAGAGAGAGAGAGAGAGAGAGAGAGAGAGAGAGAGAGAGAAGAGAGAGAGAGAGAGAGAGAGAGAGAGAGAGAGAGAGGGGGGGGGGGGGGGTAGAGGGACAGGATGATGATGATGATGAAGATGAACTTAATTTCAATAGAAGTAGGAAAATCAAACAAACCAATCAAAACAAATTTAAGCAGAAAAATAAGAAAGTTATGAATTTTTAATGACATGAAAAACTTTGAAATCACAAGACAAATTGGCAACTCAATCATGAGCCTGTGACGTCATTGCCCACTATCCACTAATTTCCTCACGCCATTATCCAAATTATATTGATAATAATATTGGATGCAAATTTTTTTCTTCAGTTAAATATTTAAAAAATGTGATTTTAGATAAACTATTTATATAAAAATAGCTAATATTCAGAAAATAGTATTGATTCTTCAAAGTTCGTGAAAGATTTTGTGAAATGTCATGCACGCAATATGATACAAAATTCATTTAACCTGGGCACAGGCATGGGAAATCAGTTTTTTGGGGATACTAAAGGGTCACATTAATAAAATATATAGTGAGGCAATGACGTCACAAATTGATAACTAATTTGATAATTTGTGAAGTGGTTTTCTAAGTTTCATCATATGTCATACTTTGACAAAAATGTAAAACTTCCTTAATAGTAATTATCCGATTTTACTCAAATTTGTTTTGCTCTGTTTCTCTTGTTTTTCTAGCTGGATCCATTAAAAGCAAATTATTTTTTGAAGAGGACTTAGCCCAAAAGCAACGCAAATTCTTTAAGCATACGAGGTAAGGCTGGTGTGAGAAGGGAGGGGGGGGGGGTCAGGGGCGGATCTAGCTTTTTGCCAAGGGGGGGGGGGGGGGTTGAACCAGTGGCGGATCCAGGATTTTCCAATTTTTTTGTTACTGTTTTACTTTTTTCCCCTTCTTTTTTCTTCCCCCTCTTTTTTTTTTTTTTCTTCACTTGGCCGCCCAAGGGGGGGGGGGGGGGGGTTAAACCGCCGAACCCTCCCCCCCCCCCTAGCTCCGCCCCTGGGGGTGTGACTGCTTCCAACTATCTATGACATCACTTGTGCTTTTGAACTTCGCTACACCATGTACAGCCACGAAAAACGACTGTCATAAGAAAACTACCAAAATATTTTGATCACGTGACTTTTGCACAGCCGAAGGTGTTTCCAAAATGGCGACCCTCTGATGTGCACTTTATGTGTGTTACGGCAATGAATGCGGATGTTGGAAAGGTATGAGTCATTTCATGATTAGAAACGTATCTCTCCGGATATTGAATGTATCTGTCGTTAGCCAAGGATTTCTTACTTGATATGGGGATATATATTGCATTTTAGGGGCGGTAAGTTCAAATTTCGAGGCATTTTGCGAGGTAGATTGTGACTTTTTGAGAGTATGCGACTGTGTGTTGTGTGTGCACTGTCAACAGGGTCAATGTCATGAGTATGAATGAATGGATAGGGACGGGGACTTGCTGGCCTACATTACATGAATATCCCGGGTCGGGCGGGGCCAGGGATGGTCTGGTTCTTTAGGTGGTGCGTGAGCATGGACTACTGTTAAGACATATTATTTTCTTTGGTCTTTGCCTTTCTTGTGAATGTGGGATTGAGACTGGTCAATCAATCATCAATGTCTCCTTCCTGCAAGAAGAGGGAGGAAAACAAAATCTAAATTAAAAAGTAAAATGCATTCGTACTTGCCCCTTTCCTGTTCTCAGCTAACCTTAAGGGCTTGTTGATAATGTATTTAACGTATTGATCATGATTGATATCACCAAGCCTTAACTGGTTCCAATAGACGTGTGCGGAGAGTCGAGAGCTGAGAGGCAGGTAAACAAACCCAAGAATGCGTCCAAAATCACCCTTTCCCGCGTCCGACAAGTATTGGACAGTGGCCAAAACGTTTGCTATGCCGCTCCTACTCCTAATGATGCAAAGTAATTCAAAATCGTAGTTAAAAAATAATGAAATAGGGCCTAGTCTATAAGCAAATATCTTGGCGTTAGTTCAGGAGTCTATCCAGACTTTGACCCGAAAATCGACTAAATCTTCATCAAATATTCTAATAATGGTCATGATTTAAAAGTCGATATGTTTCTTACCTTTTTTGTGTCAATTTTCTTATCTTTTTTTGAGTATTTTTCTTGAAAACAAGGACTTATACACTTTCTCACAGGATTCTTGGCAAACTGCTGCACAATACAATTTCATACCTTACCAACGGTGGGGTTCGGGCACGCGTGTGTGTTAAGTTAGCGACCGTAATCCAAGCAATTCATCAATACGATCGCTAACTTACCACATGCGCGCACCTGCACCCCACCCTTCTCATAGAGATTAAACTCGCCCCTTTGCAGTCTACGTACATTGCGCGCTCATGCTAAATTGGTTAAAGAGGCATGTTCCCCGTATTCCAGAGGGCGTTCAAAATACGTACCCGCTGGCGGACGGTGCTAGCTGCCTATTGACACCAACAGAATACGGCTCTTACGCAGATGGCATGTTCCGAATGCCCGGACAATACCGATTATCGCATACATGTGCCGAAGTAATGCCAATCGCAGTTCGGCTCTAAGATTCGGCTGCTGTTTCCGCCCACTTTCGTGACGTCGCGATCGTCAGCGATCAGCTGGCTTGGCGAAGGCAGGCCAGGCCGCGCGTACTTTGATTGACAGCTGTATGCAAATTAGAAGTCGATCTTCGGAACCAAGATGGCGATGACTAGAGCAGCGATAACTACACTGGCGGGAACGTGCCACTTTAACGTTTTTATTACCATTTTGAGATTCGAACTTGTATCACTCGTGATCCTGAAGGCGATGCTCAACAAATGTAGTCATTATATGAACAAGCAGGTTTTTCGCATGTACAGTATGCCCCAAAAGGCTCAACCGGAACTCTAAAAATATCTTGATCAAAACAGCAATTTAAACATTGTTTCCATTGTAGCCCTGAGGTTTCCCACTTTCTTGAATTGAGCCCTGAGGAATAAGTTATGCCAGATGAAATATTTCCGCTTATTTTTTCGCTAGCACCAATGAATCACATGCGATTACAGTTTGAAAGTACTCTTCCCCCCACTTTTTGTATTGGCAACATGGGCAGGCGACAAGCGTGACTCTGCTTAGCGCGAATCCATGGTGACAGCGCGTAGAATCTGCACATCTATATGTTTTCATGCTCGGTAGCTCACGTGACGTTCAGCGGCACAAAGCAAACCCTGAGTGTGCTACCTGTGTTGCAAGCCTTCGTACACACTATATACTGCGCAGCCTTCAATAGATGTATTCAGAGCGTGTGTGTGTTTTCATTCGGTGGATGTACCCGCATGTGGATGCACAATGAAGACAACTGAGTAGGAGTTATACTATCGCGCTCAAGAAGCGCCGCCGCTAGGCAACAAGCATACGCTTTGCTTATTGCGTGAAGCAGATAGCTGTTGGGGCTGCACATATGTTGAGATAGTGATATCGCCAGGATAATCAGGATTCTTTTGACAATAAATTCTCTTGATGCATCATTTGTAATCTAGAGTTTTACTGTCCATTTGGTAGTTATTGATCTAAATTATTTTGTGTAGAATATTAAATGAAAATTCCTACTTTTTAAAAACATTTACAGTAAAGTCAGTAGGTGAACTTTAGACACCCCATAATACAAACTCAAAAGTGAGTTTGGCTGATCAAAAACCCAGCAGCTTGAGCCAGCATCGGACAGATCTGTAAACAAATATCTGCCGATACCCCTCAGATGTATATCCCAAAATCGTATTTTAGTACGATAAAAAGAGCGAAATAGGATAACAGCGGAATCTCGTTGAAACATGTACAAGTAAACCCCCGCAACCCCAACAAAAACTTTGCTTTACGATTTTCTCATTAAATTTTAATGAAAGAGCAAGCATTTTACATGCACTTGACCGTACTAACCAGTAAAACATTTTCCTGAAATTTTACTGGCCCGGGCCTACGGGCCAGTGGTAGTGTAGAGTTTTCTTGAAAATCTGATTTTTTAGGAAACCGTAAGTCTCTGTATATAAGACACACTTTTTTGCCGCCGAAAAAAATTCAAAGTCTGGGGTGCGTCTTATACACAGGTACAAAAAAAAAAAAAATGTTTGTTAAAGTTTTAATTTTATGCCCCTCCACCTGTTAAATGCCTGGCAATGTCTCCCAGCTCAGTAATCAGTGTGTTGAATCACCACTAGGAAACTTAACCAACACTCCAATTTGTCTGTCATCTTGGTTTGAAAGTAATCTTTCTGATAGATCTCAATATATGTAGTTTATAATAATAATTCCTCCAATTTTTCTTCTACATGTATTACACACGGCGTACCACAAGGTTCTATCCTAGGTCCTCTACTGTTTTTTAAAATTTACATTAATGATCTTACACTTTCAAAAGCACCTCCCAGTTAAATGAAAGTCCTTCCCGCGTGTTTTTTTTAACACAGACCTGGTTTGCTGCCAGCAGAGTCGGCAAAAAAAAAAAAAAAAAAAAAACTTTTTTCTTTTTTCCTTGGCCCAAAAATAGGGGTGCGTCTGATACACGGAGATTTACGGTAATCAGTCATTTTTTGTGTCAGGAGGTTGGCATCTCTGCACTACATGTACAGTACGTACATGTATGTATGTACAGTACAGAGTGTATGTATTTATTTTTATTGCACAATTTCACATTTATAATGCATTGTTTTTGCCTTTTTCCCTCAAACTTCCTTCTTTGTGCAGATACATACCCAATGGATTGTTGCTTATCTAACCACACTTGTGACAACCAGCTCTTCATATGCTACTCGGTATATTCATGATTAGTAATTAGGAATCACGTATGCGTACTGAGGACTGACGTACACGGAATGAAGGAAACTTGTTCGCTCACCTTCGACCCCGTTCAAAGATGAGTAAGTATTCAGAATCCACATTTCTATGTGCATTTCATGACAAAGAACTACCGTTATTATCATTAGTGATCTGTCAGTTTATGACAGGATCAGTGACCCAATCAAAATTCTATATCAAGTGTCTCTCCAAGTTTCTCGGTCTTGAGCCATCCGTTTCATCGTTTCATACCCTGTTGCTCCACATTCTGTGATTACATCGTCTAGGTAGCCTTTACGAGGTCTTGGAGGGACAGAGTTTCGAATGAAGAGGTGTTGCATCGAGCTCAAGAAAGAACTATAATAATTATAATAATAATAGTGGGCTCTTGGATAGCGAATAAGTTTGTAAACCTTCGCACTCCTAGTGCCCTGCAATTATTATTATGCTTTAGCTTCGGTGCCATAGTATGGTGCTCTAACATATCAAGGAATTGATTCCTGCCCGGGGTTCATTTACCCCACCTGGATGGAACATGGCAAATGTAGATTAATGTTTTGCCATAGAACGTTTGGACGATTGTACTGTGGCAGGAATTCGTACCCCAATCCCATTAAGGCCATTGAAAATATATACACCTGTACATGTCTAGCGTCCCCGTCCGCTTCCTTTCTTGAAAAATAGCCCAACTGTCATGGAAAATGTACCGAGTGGCCATTTTGAGCGGCAATTTTGAAAAAATGTACATTTAATGTAGGTGGAGAGTGGCAAATGTAGATTAACATCTTGACATTCGTGCCGGGCTGGGATTTGAACCCGTACCTTGTGGTGGACAGTCTAAAGACTTAACCACAAGACCACATTTAAATTAGTATCTCCTTTTAAAAGTAATATTTAAAGCTCATATTTTGAATACAAGTTCATAACATACTCCTCCGCCTCCCCCTCCTCCCCCCATCTTCTTCTTTCTTCTTTCTTCTTTATTTTCTTTAATTTTTTTCTTCTTTAATACTCCTTTCCCTGTTATCCTATTGTTGTAAGTGCACATACTACAGTACATGTAATATTGTCCATGTACATACTTTGGCATTATGTGGTCTCCACACAATCTACACCCACACTTTTACATTGTACATACTGGTAGTTGCTGGTGTAAACCCTTATCAGTTGTAATGTGTTATTCAGTGCCTGAACGGTCAAGACTATGTACACTGCATGGTCTACTGCACTCCATAGGCATGCTACTGTACAGCTGATTTTGACAGCAAGAAACTGACAGAATTAGGCTAGGCTCAAGACTCTTTAAAATTGTGCTATTGTATCAAACTAGAGTCTGTGCCTGTATCTGGAGACTATACTATACTTCACTGATCCAGTGTAAACAAACCAGGATCTTCATACTTTGGGGAGACTGTCCTAATGGGGTCATGTGACTTGCTTAGAACCTAGTCTGCAGCCTCAGACTCTAATTTGATACTTTACACAATTATGCCATAGAGTCTTGAGCTGAGCCTAACTTAGCTTAGGCTCTGGCTGTCAGGAGCAGCTATAGTACAGACCCTATGAGGTGCAGTATGAGACGCGGTCTGCATAGTCTCTTAGTTCAGACTTCAGACACTATTTTACTCATTACGATTGATTGTAGGGTTTGTGCCTCAGACTACAGTCAGAATCTGTATCATGTACACTGTAAATAATGCAGCTCACTTGGATTATAATAAAGAGGTCATTGGCAAGATCTATATCAGCTGTCCAGAAGTGAGGTGGAGGGGGGGGGGGGGGGATGGAGAACCTGTCAGGTCAAGCGCAGTCATGTACAGGCACGGCGGAGCACCCCAATTTGCATATCATTAGCGGCCCGTTCTATTTGAATAACCAACGGACATCTGCGTGAGTCCGAACATGTGTGTGCTAGAATGTCAAATCTTAAAATTCGCGTTGCGCCTTTATTACTGCCAATATCGCTATGAAACTTTCCATACTAACTAAAATTATTATGAATTTGATGCAGGGCGCGACAAACCCGCTTGCCCGACGTCCCGGGGCAACCAAATTGAGCCGTCGGGCAAGTAAATCAAATTATCACTTGCCCGATTCGGGCAAGTGATACTTTTACAGTAATTTCCTAGTGTCCAAGAACTCTACCATTCACCCGTCAACTTCTTACCCGTCGTCAAAATCCAGAAGCAAAAAAGCGATCGTTCCGATTTCGAAAAAACTTCACAGACAGCTAGCCAGCTCAGCTAGCTCAGCGCGCATGCAACAGTGACACTTCAAGCCATGAATGCCGCTCCGCCTCCACGCACGGCCGGCCGTGAGCTAGCTAGAGACAGCTAGCGCGATCGTACCAGCTGCGAGCTTATTCGCGCTCTCTCTCTCTAGCTCTGCAGGCCGCACCGACAGGCCTTTGCTATTCTCTGATTGCCGATTGGTTGAATCACGCCAAATATGACGTCATTATTCTAGGGAAATGAACACGTGCGAATCGGAATGGAATAAACAACAGGGATTTTCTAGTAAGTACAAAAAGTCAAATGTTTGATATTTATTCATAATGACTGTTAATGATTGTGAACATATTATTTAAAACTCGCTGCTCATATAAATCAGATGAATGTTTTTGTCTCGTTTTCAATTTATTACTGCGGTCTCAATTTAAGATCCGACCGAGCGAGTCATTTTGATAATAGTATCGAGACCCCCAGAATATAAGCCGTTGTTGTTTTGTTTTCATGGTTTTAGCGACGTTGTTTAGTCTAGTTTTCGCATACTTATCCGAGATTTATCGTAAAATATCTTCAATATTATTATTTAGTAAGAATTTACAAATTTTGGCATGATATTTATAGCAGTGAATGATGAAATAAAAATGTCCGTACTTTATTTAAAATAGTTGATTACCCATTATTTACATGACGTTTCTTGATGGAAGAGTTGACCCAAATTATTAACAGCTGAAAATTAGCCTACGTTTCCAAATGACAGCGGCTTGCACAGACACACATGTGATGTTGCACCATGGTACATGTGGCTACCATTAATGACATGTTTGTATCATATTTTTTACAACAGGGTCATTATGCTTTTTTACATGACTGAATATTAAAAACTTAAACCTGCTTGAACCATTCTACCTTGCCGAGATTCATGTGAATCTGATTATTTATGGAGAATCAATAAAATGCGTTTTTTAAACCTTCAACCATCCTTTGTTGACCATTTTCTTTGACATATTAGGTTATTATTCAGTACAGTTAACATAAAACATGTCTTATTATTCCTCTGAATCTGATATCATGATTAACCTTGCAAACTTGCAAAGTTACTCTGTGAAGACAGCTTGATCTGTGACGTGTTTATATATGCCTTTGCAATGCAATGTTTGCACGTGGTCAGGGAGAGAGCTCCCTGCATGTATCATTGCCATATGAAATTATGTGGAAATGTGTATCACACACACCCAAGACACACCCTGCAATGAGCTGATCCAAGTTAGTGACCAATCAGGAAGGTTCTCTAGCTATGTGGGTGGAGTTTGATACCAGCATAAATTACAGGTTGGTGACCGCGCGTGCTTTCACTGTACCCAGTTCAGTGGGAGGTCAAGAAGCCACGCCCACATGTGTGCATGTGATAAGCATGCGCTCTCTATCTGTGTGTATGTACAGTGTATTTGGGCGCCGGAGGTTTGTGTGTACATGTGTGTGTGACTGAGAGAGCATGCATGGACCAGGCATGCAGGGACATGAGAGAGTGCAGTAATAAGAAAAGGTACATGAGCGATAAACACATTGCAGAGAGAAGGGAATAAAGAGGGTGAGAAAAGAGATATGGGGGCTGGTTGTTTTATTGTTTACAAATTCATTCATGGAGATTACTGCTGCCAGAAAGCTGGCGCGCAGCGGCCAGGGTGTAACATTACACTGCGGTTTCTTTGATTATCTTTATCACCGGCTATTAGCACATTCCAAAATGTATAAAAATAACGGTTAAACGGAGCAAGAAATGCCAAACGGTTTTGATGAATGCGGTCGGATAACCGTCGGTTAAACGGATTGACTCAGGCCTAGTACATGTATGTGCATTAATTTGCTATCTAAAACACTAACTTATCATTACGAGATAATAAATGCTTTAACCTCGAGTCCTTTTTCGCTTTAAAGTTTTGGGCAAGTGGAAATATTGTTTGGGCAAGTAAATTGAAAACCCACTTGCCCGACAGGGCAAGTGGTGAAAAAAATTCTTGTAGCACCCTGTGATGTCATTGAAATAAATACGAAATTCCATGGAATAAAACTCGAGATATTAATGTGTTTTGAGCTTCGCCCCTCGAAAAACACGACGTCGACTTTTTAAGTTTGTGACCCTATCAAGCAATGCACGAAGAAGAGACTTGGTATGAATATTCATTAGGGTTGAATCCATACATGGGCGAAATTTTCGCTTCTCCGCTGTATTTTTTTTGGTTATAACGTTCTTTTTCATGGGGCTTCATTTTTAAAAGTTGTAGTCAGCGAACTCATTGAACATGACGTCATCGATCTCAGCGATGTACTGCGCATGCGTCTTAGGCCCGGTGCAGGCCAGATCGAAACAGCTGAGCCATTAGCGTGCACGTGTGCAGTCGGCTGGCAAGACATGTATAGCCAACGCACACGCGAGGTTCAGACATGACACACATTTGAATGTATGGGACTGGTCAAACAATTTTGCGACAACGAAGGATTATTTTTGTTCGATGAGATTCGGACATTGGGGTATGTTTTTCTCTGTTGCGACCCTATCAAGCAACTATGAAAAGAGATATTTCACAAGGATTGAGATTATTAAATTTTCTTTCTGTTCATACGAGGCAATTCTTTCTCGCTCTAAAAGAAATGGTGAATTTTACGGTGATTTTGTATCTCATTTTTTTCGTTTTTGTTCGTCAAAACTATCCCTTAAATTTCACATTTTCTGTGCATCAATAACTCTTTTTATACACATGAGTGTCTTGCAAATTTATTCAATACTCGATTTAGTAGCTTTGATTGGTGATATTCATCACATTAATGAAGAATTTGTCTTCGAAATTTGTTTACTT